CAGGCGCGGGGCGACGCGAGAGCAGCAGTTGTTTTCCCAGCCGAGCGCGGCGGCGACGCGGGGGCTGGGCGCTGGCCCCCGGCCAGGGAGACGGCTCTTTCTGGTGAAAGCGTCGTAGCGGCCGCAGGAGGAGCGGGTGTGCAGGCGGGGAGGCCGGGGGCGGTCCCCACCCGGTGCCCGCCCCGCCGGAACCCGCCGCCGCCGCGCTGGGTCCTTTCCAGCAGCCTCACCTGGGAGCCGCGGCCGCCGGCCAGATTCCTCCGGGCGGGGCCCTAGCAAAGCGGGAAACCGAGGCTAGGGGGCGGGGATAAGCTGGGCCTGGCTGGGGTCACACGCAGACTAGAGACCGGGTGGGGCTGGAAACCAGGCCTCTCACCCTCCCCTGGCTGCCCTTGACCACGTGGGGGTCTCACAGCCTCCAAATCACTTTTCATCAACACTGGCCCACTCCCCTTTGAGTAAAGGACTCAGGGGCACTCTTGGGCCAGGGACTCAGGGAGGTGGCGGGAAGGGGCGGGGGGATGCAAGAGAGGAGCAGAAGGAACAAAGCTGGCAGACCAGCCTCCTTGTCAAGCCCCCTGCAAATGGCTTCCCGGTGCCCACCCTGCCTTCCCCCCCTTCCTCTGGCCGGGTTGGCCGGGCTGGCTCGGGGCCTCAGACACTCTGGAATCGCCAAGGTCTGAGCTCAGGGCCTGGCCCCCTTCCCAGGCTGAGAGCCGGGAGGAGGGGGGCACTGCTGGAGGGCCCAGGGACCTGGAGAGGGACACAGCAGGGCCTCAGGGCAGGGGCTGCCAGGGGCTGGGGAGTGGCCCTGAGTTTGCTCAAGGCTGGAGAGGAGCCAGGCCTGTCCACTGGCCTGGAAGGGAGGCTCTGGAGGGCTGCGTCTCCTGGGCCCCAGGCCACTGTGGGGGCCTGGCCAGGAGACCCCAGGTTTGAGCTCTGACTCACAGGACTCAGCAGGGGGTGGGGATGACCAGAGTCAGGATGCAGGACAAGGCCAAGTCAGGGCAGCACCAGACCGTCTCCCAGAAGGCACCAGTGCCAGCATTCTGACTGCGGGAGGGGGGCACTGGAACTTGTCTTCAGGCACACCTGTCCAAGGAGCTTACGGGTTTTATTTTGAGGGGGGGTTTATTTGGGTAGCTGTCTTAGTTATCTAGTGCTGCTACAACAGAAATACCCCAAGTGGGTGGCTTTAACAAACAGAAATTTATTTTCTCACAGTTTAGGAGGCTAGAAGTCCGAATTCAGGGCACCAGCTCTAGGGGAAGGCTTTCTCTCTCTGTCCACTCTGGAGGAAGGCCCTTGTCTCTTCAAGCTTCTGCTCCTGGGTGATCTTCATGTGGCTTGGCATCTCTGTTCCCCATCTCTGCTTGCCTAATGTGCCCTTTTTATCTCTTCTCAGAGATTGACTCCAAGACACACCCCACACTAATTCTACCTCATTAATATAACAGCAAACACTTTCCCAAATGAGATTCTAACCACAGGCGTAGAGGTTAGAGTTTCCAATGCATATTTTGGGGGACACAGTTCAATCCATAACAGTAGCTT